TTCCGGTAAACGCGGTTATATACGCAAGTGCGCAAACGAATGACTTTTGTATCCGCTTTTCGGTCCCGGCGATGTCAGGTCAAAAAATTTCAAAGGTTCCGGAATCTGAAGCGTGAAAAAGTTTGCACGGACAATTAATTAGATTTTCGTGGAGTAACAGTGATATTTTCACGCTTTTTCACGCTTTTTTCCGTTTTTCCGCCACAGCTTCGTACTGCGCTTTCTAGTAAACCACCATTTTTACTTCCGTCATACGATAAAAAAAATATGCATAGAGATATTGTTATTATCAACAATTCACTTAAATATCGCAGTGTAATAAATATTAGAAAGTATAACATGTGATAGAAACGAGTATCTCTTTAACGGTTCCTATTAATAATTCTGTTTTTCGTCGCTAAAATCAAAATAAAAATGCTGAAGCGATTAAAATGGACTTATCATACTAATTCGAAATCCATCGCACATTTCAGCAAAATGGTCGCGATTGTTGCAATTCAATTTCGTCATTGATTCGACATGTGGATTTCAGGAGCATTTCGCGTGCATTATTAAAGCCGCCATTGCACGAAACTTCTCGAGGGTTGATTACTGCGTTATTATTATCCCCCGAGACCGAAGTAACTCGCCATTCACGTCGGGTATCGCATAGTAATACGCGATTAAGGGAAAATCGATCCTGAATTTTATCGGGTCCGTAGTACACGCTTAGAGATACCCGACGCGCCATAAAATTTCTCTCGTTCCCCTGGGGGTGACATTTCCCCCCCCCCCCGTCCTTATCTATCTTTACCTGATTTTCTTGATAACGTAGTGTAGTTTGTTGCTTCCTTTGACTTCGCCGGAAGTCGATGAACCTTCCTATTGAATATTCGGATTCACGTAGTTAGATCAGAATCCACGCCCTTGTAATTCCGTATAATTCCTTTATTCGCGGCGACTTCTCGAGATTGTTAGGCGAACCCTTCCTTCCTGCGAAGTCTCGTGTATAGTCCGGCGGCGCTTCTTCTTCCTCGACTTAAGCCGGCGAGCGCGGATGCATTTTGCATAAAATGCATATTCATCACACGCGAAAAGAAGCACCTCTCGCGACCGTGTCAAGATATTTCATTGTCCGGAGTATCGGTATTAATGGAAGAGAAGAAGATGGAAAATGTTAAAAAAAAAGAAGGGAGGAAAGCGAGATGCTTCAGTCTCAAAAGTTTGAAAAAGTTTCAACTGAGAGGTGAGCTTTTCCACATGATGACATTTGATGAATGATCGTTTGTCATATTCAAGACTAAATATCTCGGACACGGGGGCCGTTATTACACGAGAGGCGAGGAAATAGTTTGGGAAAATGGTCGGGATACCCTGGCTACGGGTCTTTATAAATTTCAGTGCTTTCGCGTGAGCGTGGCACGCTCGCTAGAAAATACATATTCATCTCGGCCGCTCCACGAAGGGTGCATCCGTAATGGAGACGAAAGGGACAAGAGGGATCCGCGGGATCTGCGTACATTTCGTCGGACGTCCACGTGAATGGCGAGCAATATCGATCAGTCGAGGCAAAGAGGTTATCCGGGCACGGGCAGCTGTTTTCGAAAGACCCCAATTCAATTTCTACTTCCAGCGCGTTGTGTGTTACATTTATAGGTCCGTCGGACACCTCTGGAGTAACGCGTAGTAACAAGGTACATTACACAGTTCGACATGTGTACCGCATAGGGTGTCGCACAGGATGTCGCAGTTGCCGTTTCATATTTCATTCGGAAAACGCGGAGATGAAATGACATATTTACAGAGGCTCTCGCGCCTCGGCGTTGGAAATATTTGTTTTCGCGACAACCCCGCAAATGGGAAGACCGCGTGAAATCCCCGTAGATTGACCGGACACGGATCGACGGAAAAAAGGAGGCGTTGAAAAAAGCATCTCACTGAGAGGATCGCGGCGGCGGGAGAGGGGGTGTTAACGCCGCTAAAGCTGGGGTGAATGGCCAAGACCGGGGCTGCGCGGAGGCCAAGGGAGGAATATCGTGATCGCGCGATGCGCGCCGGGGAATGAAACTTTTATTCGTTCTCTTACGATAACGAGAGAGAGAGAAAGAGAGAGAGAGAGACGGCAAGGAACAATATTTATCTTGCCTCGCTCCGGAGACGATATTTTTTCGCGCCGTAATTTTAACAACGGCCAACGGATAGATGATTTGACGGCAGATTTATTAAAGTTACGGTAACTTAATACACTCGCTACAAATGAAAGGTCTTTCGATTTCGACGTGTCTCGATTGTGCCGGAATATTATTATAATCGAAAACATATAATCATATCTGGCGCTATGACAATTTCTACTCTCTTTCAAAAAAATCTTTCTCTTAATATTCACCCTTCGAAAATGGAGAACGGTATGGAGTAGAAAATACGATTGATCGAATCGTACGCTGACGCAATTCCGCGTAAAAAAGCAACGGCTTGTTAGGGAATACAAAATTAACTGGAAAATATCTCTCTCGACAATTTAAATGAGCGTAACCAAGCGTGCGAGATGTTAGGTTAACGTGACCGGCTACGCTTCTCAGCTTATCGAGCCGTGCCGTGACTTTCCTAAAGAAGGTCTACAAGTTCCTTAATTGGGCGTACGGAGGTCGGAAGTCGTAACGCGATCCCTTCGCTCGTCACGAGGAAGAAATGTCGAGCGATATGTGCGTTTCTTTTCCGTGCGTTTAAGCGAAGTCGAGAAAAGCTATCGCGTGTCACGCGTGCACGGAATAAACTCGCTGGGTCATCGAGTCAAGGTGGAATTAAATATTCGTCCGCGGGAATACAGAAGAAACTGTGTAAAGGCTGATGACGTGACATTTTTCAATCCATCCACAGGCGTGCCGCATATTAAGCTGCTAATTGAAAATTTCACTGCGATGATAATTGCTCGCTCGTTCTGGCTCTCATCGATCCGACCTTACCTCGCAAAAGCGGGGAAAAAGGAGAGATACGTGGGGCACCCCTTTGCTTGTGTATTAATCGTGACAGATTTACATCCCGAGCGCTTTATAAACTGTACCAGGTAACGAGAATCAAAGGCTGTTTGCGGAAATTACAACTTACACGAATGCAACCGAGTCTCTGAGCAAAGATTTGATCAAAGCGTGTACGCGTAAAGGAAGGATCGACGACGAGAGACGCACGATGCGCGGCTTTCTTTGAGCCGAATTCGAGAAGCCCGAAATTGTCGTCGTCAAGCCGAGCTTTCGCGAAACCGATGATCGAGCCGCGCATAACATCGCCGTAAACGGTTAAGCAAATTGCGACGGCGAGGTAATTAACGGAGCCGGTGCGCGTATAAAGCGAAACTTCACTTCTAAATAAGCTAAAAACGGATTAATAGAAATAAGCTTTATCCGGTACCAAGAGCGAACGTTTTCTCCTTTCGAAAATAATTTAACCGACGCAATAATTTGTTTCCCTCTTGCTTCGAGCTTTCGATTCAATGAACATTGTTCGTTTTAATAAAGAAAAAGATTGAATAACAGATTATTCAATATTTTCAATTTCATTTGTAACACATTCATTCCTTGGAAATAATCGCGCGCGGTGCAAAGAAAATTGACGCACTTGTGCCCTCGGAATGCCATTTACTCCGATTCCCGAGATCCTCCGGCCGCTAAAACGGAGCCTAGGCGACCGGTATTTATCGCACGAATTAACGCACAGTGCATTTTGCCGCGCATGCACGACTCACTTGCGTCGCAAAGCGGATTATTTATGGCGTCGTATCCTTCCGAGAGAAGCTGTCGCTAGGCGAGAAGCTGTCGCTAGGCGACAAGCTGTCATATGACTCGCTTCTTTCATCCCCCTTGTCTTCTCCACGTTCTCAATGACAGATCTATCTCATTAATCTCCAATGATTTTCGTCTATTATTCGCACTAAAAAAAAACACTTTTCGATAAAGACACTTCAATTTGTCGAAAATAAATCATCATCGCGACGAGGTTTAACTTGAATAATTTTACACGAGTTTTTTATACCTTTTGTAAAATTGCTGAAGTTAAACCCCGCCGCGACAATAATTCGTTATCGATAAAGTTTAAGTGCCTTTATTCACGCGCAAATTGTAAAGGTAGCTAAACAGCTATTCGCGTCCCGTAACATCTCTATCATTCTCTTCGTCGATGTCAATCTGAATTATTAAACATCTGTGCAATAATTAAGAACTCTTTCAACGACGAAGAGAGTACTCTCCGTTGTAATACATTTTTAATACGTTTAAGTTGTCGCGTTGCTTTTAGTACACATGTAATACTCGGTCTTTCAGTAGAATTTATTTTATATAAAGAACATTAAACGTTCAAACTCCATCGGGAGATTTGGAGAATAATCGATTATAAAGATTTCTACGATAAAGCCTCGGCGAGAGATAGAAAAAGAGAGAGAGAGAGAGAGAGAGAAGAGAGAGAAGAGAGAGAGAG